AGTGGCTGGTTGTTTCACTTGGCCGGGGTAAAGGAACAACAGGCAGGTGCCTACGTCAACGATTGTTTGTTCCAACATGATTCATTAATCATATTCATTTTCAGCAAATGACCTTTCCGTACCCCTGCCCTGCAGCAGTGAAATCCTGCTGGGGACCCAGCGCTCCGGCCACACCACCACGTTTCTTCCGTGACACGGTGACGCCCCCGTTCTTGTCGACTGAGACCTGCATGGTGAGAGTATCACGCATATATATATATATATATATCTAGATCGATATTATAAGATATTTATCATTATCGTATAAAGGATCAGTTCAAACATTGCATATTGAACAGGAATAGTTTCACCTCCAACTGATCTTTGTACTTGTCAATGCTCATCTTCACCTTTGGTACATAGAAGGATCCGGCACACGTCCTGGCACCACAAAGCCTGGGCTGGAGCACTCATGGTGTTAATTATGAGCCATGTAAACTGGAATCACGTATGATGCATATGGATGCATGCGTGCACACATGCACAAAGGAGTCCAATTATAAGGCATGAATGACAACGTTCACCATCAACGGACTTGACATTCGCACAAAATGTTGCAGAGATATTAGGCCCTGACAGAACCTGGATCCGTTGAGCATTCCCAGCAAGCGTCTCATCTAGACCCGAAGGTGGCGATAGCATGAAAGACCTGGGCCCCGGTGTCATCTTTTCCAAGAGGAAATATTATATATTTGTGTGCGCAGTGGCGCTTTGTTCAATTGGCTTAGCTAAATTAATTTACTTGTTTTGTGCACATGCTTACGTGTGCATACTGACTCAACTAACAGACACCTCTCATAAGGTCAACACCTCTTTGTAGCCATCTCAGTATCGGTCGGCAAAGTCACCAAAGCATCATTCTTTACCGCTTCTTTGAAGATGTTCCAATTCTCTGTCTTTGCCTTTCAAGTCTGAATCAAACCAGCGTGCAAAACACTGCACTAATTAATATTAATACATACTAGGTCATCCATGGGTAGTTTTACCATTGAAACTTTGATGTGGACGTCTCCACTTGCAACGATTCCCTTCATGGTACGTTCATGCATGCACACCATGAAAACCTGCCTGATCTTGTTTTTTCTTGAAGTCTTCCTTCTTTTGTTCCTCCTTACTGTCTTTCCCCTCGACCTTTTCCCTTTCCTGTCCGTTGCCTCCTGCTGCTTCTGCTGCGTTGTCCTTCTTATTCTCCTTGGCTGTGCGTGATTTCTTCAATGGTGACTGCCCAGGCTCATTCACCCAAGACCTCTTCAACATCCGGCGGGCAGACGGGCTGGAAAACTTTGGCTTGGATGGACTGGTAGTTTCACTCGACAATTTGGCTTTCTTCATAGGCGACTCGGTGATCTCAATTGCAGGTTCTGCAGTAGGGACCTGCTCTGATGACGATGCAGCCTGTGTTTGATTGTCTCCCTCATCTTTCCTGTCCTCAGCCGGCTTTTCCGCCTTGACAGCCTTTGCACTCTTATTCGCCTGTGATTTACCTCTTCCTCTTCCCTTTCCTCTTCCCTTTCCCCTTCCCCGACCCTTTTTGGATCCCTTATCAGCTTCCTCGTCGTCCTCTGCATCCGCAGCGTATGCCTTATCAGGATCCTCTTCATCCTGTCCCTCCCGCTCGCTCTCTTTCTTCATCTTTCGTAGTGCCCGCTGTGCCTCATGTTCAGTTCAAAATAGATATATAATTATAATGTATAAACTATATATAGACCACGTGTGCACAGCACAGATAACTGCATGCATGCATGCATGCACTGTATTTTATAGATTGGGTGCCATGGAGCATCTTTGGGCCATCCCCACTGCTTTGTAATATGCATGTTTTCAATCAGCCTCTTGTATACTCTACTCCAGCAATTCTGATAGAGTTTTGTTGAACTATGTTGAACTCAAATGCGCAACGCTAGCACGCAGGCCTTCAGAATTTCATCCCTGACCATTTCAGGTGTAGATCCTTGCTCACACGATAGTGCTTTCTCTAGAGCCTGCTCGAGCTCCACAGGGATAGCTGGCGGAGGGACCAGTGCACCTCGATCCTAGGTGCGTCATACACATCATATGCGCAGAACAAACCCTGGCCAAATGACTGGGCACTTTTGGAATCCATTCCATGTGTGATACACTAGCCACAATGTGCAAATATATTTCATGATATATTCTGTACATAATTGCAATCACTATCAACAACAAGCTGCCAGGGCACCATGTTGGAACCTTTGGTCTCTTTGGTTGAATCTTCATGCAAAGCCTCCTCCTCACTGCGGACCTCCTGCGCCGCATCTTCTGCTGCCTGTGCTGCGGCGTCTGCCTCAAGAGCTTCCTGCGTTTCGTTCCTAGGAATCACACCGTTTGGTTGCTCAGTGGCGGGGGGATCGCCTAGGCTATGTGGGATCACCTGGGCTGGCTTCAATGGACTTGCCAAACTTGGGGCTTCGGGCATAGTCAGCTGCTGTGAATCTTCGGGGATCGGGGTGGCTTCTTGGGTTTCTGGGGCCGTCTCCACAGAAGTGGGGATGCCAGGTTCTGGCATCCCCTCAGCTGCATGAGCCTCTTGGACTTCGGCTTTGACCATCTCAATCCTGGAAGCCTTCTTCGGATTGGGTGACATGAGGCATTCATCTTCGGACAAGATCTGAATCGTATCATTATCCTGGAATAAGCTGCTTTCATCAAACTCCTCCTCCGATTCAGATATATCGTGTATCAAAAGATTGGACTTCGCAGTTCCCCTGACCAAAGCCAATGCAGAAGGCTCAGGAGAGTTGAAGGAAGGCAATCGGGCAATCGGCGAGAACTCTACTGGCTGGGAGTCGGTCCACTCCATTGTCTGAGTCGTTGCAGTGTCAACATTCTGGCTCTCTTCTCCACCTTCCTGGCACCAATCTGGATTGAAATTGATGATATGACGTGGCAACGATATAGATTATGTAAGACTGTGAACCTAATAACTTGCAAACACTTCAAAAAATCATGAACATGCGCAGCATTTCCTGGTACGCATCTCCTTTTTAGGAAAATCCATTATGATCCACACATGCGTGGTAGTAGTGTTGCATGCGCACAAAGAAGTAGCTGTCCTGCTGCCTCTTGCTCTTTGACAGCCCTCTTCCCCGCGATGCAACTCGCTTCCCCTCTGGTGTCAATAGATCATGTTCCTGACGCAACCCAGAACCACTGATTCGCAAACATATTATAAAGCTTGCACCGCATTCTGCATGCGTGCTTAATTAAGATTCACCCACACATCTCACATACATTTGGTTCTCATGCACAAGCTCTCAAAGGAGTCACCACGTGAAAACCCCCATATGCATGCATGCAGGCAATTAACAGTGCATGCCTCCAACTTGCACTTGATCACTTCCTTGATGCTTTCGCTGCGGGCATGGCCGGGCCTTTGAAACACGTGTACAATTCCATTCACACCAAGCAAGGCCATTTTATTTAGATCAATTGAGTTCATTTCTTGAAACATAATTCTTATAAAGGCGTAGAGGTCTGAGTTCATAGCCGTGCTCCCGGGTTCCGTTGAAAGCGGTCCATACAGTACGATCCAACTTTGTAAAATAGGCCGGATTCGACTTTGGCCCAGTCCTGCATGTGTTGCACTGCATGTACAAGTAGAATGCAGACTCGGGTCCCCAATCAATTGCATACCAATCAATTGAGCATGAATTGAACAAAGTTCAAGATGCTCCTGATGACGGTCCGTGGCTTTCCAAGGGTTGAGCCTGAAGTGCAAAGAACACCATGTAAGGGCCTCCTAGCAAAATCAGAGTCTCCAATGCCATGCATTGTACTTTGATCATGGGTTTTGTAGCTGAAAACTTGCCTTGTACCCGATTGTGTTCGCAGGTTCATGAAGCTGACACTTAGACAACTCATGCATGCATGCACATCTCTCCTCAAGTTCTCGTCTTCGGGGAAGCTGGTGAGCAAAGGTTGCCATGTACTGCAATGCAATCTCATAGTTGTGGTCATTCTCCACCTGGTAGCCACGGATCTATTTATATCGCCATGACTGATAACTGGCATGGCACAGAGCACATGAGTGGGTGAAACAAATAGCTAGAGCTCTCACGCCTCGTTCTCACCAAATTTCTTACCCTCGAGAACGATGAAGCGAAACTTGGGAACCTCGTGACTGAAAACGTCGCTTGTGTGCATGCCATGGTTTCTCAACAAGAGCATTCCGGATGTGAAGCTGCGTGCGCATCACCACAGGGTTGTTCCTTTTCATGGACAATGGAGAGTGGAATGATCCACATGCATAATTATTTTGTGAACATGATATGAAGTAAAACCGATGTCTAAGGCCTGAACAAGATTCTTGTCAGAATCCTTCAGTCCAGCCCTTGTGCGGAGCACCTTCCTCCGTTCTGAAATGAAGGCATCGTCATTGCAGAAGCTCCGCAGGAACTCCTGTCAATGAAGCATGCATGCGTGCAGAATATGACGGACCCCCCAAGTACACACATGATAGGATATACATGTCGCTACCATTTTGACACTGAAACCCACTCTTCACTAGCAGTTCTGTTCTGTGCATTTCTCCTTAACCAAATTCACTTGATGTGCATCCAGCTTCTTGCTCAAATAGGCTGGTGCTGATGGCGAGGCCATAGCACACCACGTGAAAAAGAACGTGCGGCGTACGTAGCAGGGTCTTCTTTTGACCGAGGGTTGATCGAATTGGAATTTGGTGCGAAGTTCATTCCATTCATGAATGCGAGTACTTGAACACTAGTAGCCAATCTCTGTTACCCCTTTGCAAATTTGGGCCGAAAGAAACCGTCTCGACGTGTCTCGACCAATGAAGACTGGCTTATATGATATCTATAGCTCATGCTCAGTAATGCTTAATCAAAAAAAGCTTGGTCCAGTTGAAGCCCTTCAAGAGAACATAAGAGAACTGACTCCCTCATTCCAAGTTGAGGAGAGAAAACGAGAGGGCTGGGGCGCACCCAAGGCGTCTGTGTCGATGATGTCCTCTCCGGTTTCCCTCTCCAACTGACCTTGATCGGAGCGCATTGCCCACTGGTTTCATCACCCATTCTGGTTGGTACCTGATATGATGGCTGAGGTTGGGGCTTATGGCCAAAGCTCTCTTCATTCCATGGCCCGCTGGGACCAAATTGAAGCCCCATGGGAAGCGCCATCGAGTTTGAGGGATATCAGGGAAATAAGAGCTACATATTAGTGGTATCAGGGATGAGTGAGTTGCAACAACCGATTGTGTACTGCAATGGCTGATCTGGCCTGGGCCGAAAGCCGAGCTCGCAATCTATGAAAAACCCTCCACACCAAGATCGGTACCTGGGCGGGAGATGGCAGGAGGCTAGAAAATGGTGGTTTGTAAGAAAAATAAGGCCGAGGTCTAACCACCTTTCTTTCAAAGGTCGAGGAAGATGAGGGTGTGTACACCACCTATTTCAGATCAATGGTGTCAGTGTCACGTCTTGGGACAATATAATGTGTGGAACGCATCTAGTGGATTGAGAATAGATGGCACAGACCCCAAGAGGTGGTTTAGCAATCTGACGTCCTCTGCAAGACCCGGTAGGACAAAGGAACACTCCCTGTCTCAGCCTTCACAAATTGCCGGATCGACATTCGTTCCAGGCCCAGATCTGGGGTCCTCCGGCAACATTCCTGTAGGCCCCCAGAGATAACCGAAGATGCCCACCGACCTGGGTCAAACCAAGGCATAGGTGAAGCGCTGTGTTCGAAGCCGTGTTTCAGACCTTTTTGGAACCACATTGCATGAGGCATCATGCCCCCCAAGGGGATGTTGCTTGACTCAAAACTGCTCACGGGTAATTTTGCCGGAGACTCAAGCAATCCAAGTTTCGGGTTTTTCCCTTTTCCTGCTGGGACCTTTTTGGCCATCAGTTGGCTTCCTCGGTTCCTTTTTGCAGGGTTCCTTTGCTTACTTTTGTTTTGGCCCTACAAGTATAGTCAGTCGTGTGAAATAATACCGAATATCAATGACAGCGAGAACATATAAACATTGCTAAAACAATGTAAAAGCGTTGACATTTAGCATGGCTGTCGTCGACCACTGCGATGAAAATCTTCCCAACCTGGTGAAACCTTTGGTCAAAGGCTCCAGGAAGAGAGCTTCCAACTAGCCAGCCTACGCCACGCATGCTTATTTTGTCTCATCCGGTCTCTCAGCAACTCTTAAGGACTTTGCCGCCGGAGGCCCCAAAAAACGACGTACTCGACCGGATCTTCGTCCCGGCAACCGCGGGATCTAACGGCTGGAGACGTATTCGGCGTACTCGAACATGCTCCTGTTCAGATTGCAGGTCTCTTATGACCGTTTCTCGGAGGTCCGAAATGGTAAAGGAAAACAACAAGGCCCCCAGGACCTTCCAAGTGAGCTCTTTGGATCTCGGAGTCCCCTTAAAAAACCGGCCTAAATGACCGAAAATCCTGGGATCTCAAGTTCCACGAACTGAAGGTCCTGGAGACCTGGTCTTTATGCCACTCCAAACACACATTGAAGTGAAAAACTACCCAGTCTTTTGGGGGGTGGAAATCGTCCAATTCCGTTGTTAGGGTAGCTGGGCCTTCCAAAGGCCTAAGGGGTATTGAAAGCAGACCCATCAAGAGTCTGGCGCTGCCCAAACATTTAACCCCTTCTTCCAGGTGCTGGTACATCAGTGCGGGTCGAAACTGGACCCTGCACCCAGCAAAATCAAAAGAAGCAAGGCCTTCCAAGAACCTTAGCAACCAATCCGAGGCCTTCAGAGTTTTGACCCACACACACACACACACCACACCAGAATACAGCAGACATATTATGTTCAATGTGCCGCATCTCCTCCTCGCAGCGGAAAATAACAAACAGGTGCAAAGTTGCGATCGAGTCGCAGCAGAATCATCACCGGGTGCATCCTGAGCTTCTTGTCACTCTCGATCAGCTTCACCTCAACCAGACACTCGGTCGCCCCACAGTCGAAGTGGTCGGGAACAGGTCACGAGCGCGCGGGAGTGAGTGCTAACAGGTATAGAACGTGGCAACGGGGTAGTTGGAACTCCTTTTGAACGTGATCCTCTAAGAAGCCCCATCAGCCAAACTCAAGCTGTTCCCCTCTTCTTACTCCACCATTTTCCGTTCTACTTCTCGGGTTTTTCACATGGTAGAACTCACACATCCACAGGCCGTCCTTATCCTTAGCTGAACATGTCTGCCCGACTCGACCGGCCGATCCACCGGTCTCGCGCCGCGAACGAGGCCAGGAACGGTCTCATGAGGCCAGGAACGGCTCTGACGGTCTTGTATATAAAGGTTTTTCTTTTTGTAATAATCCATTTGGAATAACATTTGTATTTTGGAATAACATTTGGAATATCACTTGTAATAATCCATTTGGAATATTTTGGAATACCCATGTTTCATGAAATCAATGGGTCAAGGAAGCACGCACGTCGCGCTCCATTCTCCGGTTTATGAACACCGCTGGCCTCGATGATGTTGCTGAAGGAGAATTTCAAGGCTAACTGTCCGATGATCGCCGTCAACAGCACCTGAGGTGCTGAGTGTTCACCTCTTTCTTCCAATTCAAAGACAGCACCTGTTTATCACCCCTCATTTCGAAGCATATGGCATAGGACAGCTAGGACCTCAAGTGGTTACATGCAAGACCAATGATACCGCACTCATCCGCTATAGTGTATACTAATAGGCAAACAAAAGAAACACATGAAAACCATGAACATAATTGAACATATAACGAGCAAGTCCCCTGCTCTGTCCCTACTAGAACTTATTCCACTTATTCTATGAATCGCTCAGCTCAATTCGGGTGAACCGACATTCGTGCACTCAAAAAGGAATGGAGCTCCCGACAAGTGGATAGCTGGTGCTGCCGCAGTGTCGAACATGTTCATCATTCCATGTTCGGCTCTTCCAAAGTGATTGCCCCTGGATTTGGGGATTTGAAGAATGGAAAAAAGGGTACCAGCTGCGCTCAAACAGTGGCATCTTCCTAGTTGAAACCAAGTGCTTGTGGCACAGGTCCGAACCGTCAAAGCCGCCGCCACAGTGGCAGTCCACTGTCGGTTTCTCCAGCCGACGAGTGGCCAGTGTTGGTCTCTCCAGCCGACTGTCGAACAAGATCACCGGGCACGGCAGGACCTCGTGTTGCTGTCACAGCTGTGGGTGAGACCCTCACCCTGCTGGCCCCACAGACCTCAGGGCCCCAGAACATACCAAGAGAGGTTAAGTCTAAGTGACCTTAATGGGCTGGTCTTTCGGGTTCAACTTGTGTTGGGAATGTTTCATTTGCTTCTATAGTTATACAGTAACAGTTCACCCTTGCTTTGAGTCGTACGCCAGTTTTGACCAGGTCAAGTCACATCTCTGGATCCGCCAAACCAAATAGTTTCAGGTGTATGTATTGGCCACTGAAGGATGCATCACTCAAATCTTGGACAAACAAATTGTACTCTTGTAAATTATTGCACATGTTGTGGCGTATTCAGCATTATTTTTGAGTAGTTGCGTCTTTCATACCAGGTGTTGTATTTTTTGGGGTGGAGAGTCGAGAGTCGAAGCATGCACACATCGAGCACGCATTTGTGATTGATGATGAATCATACAGTGAACAACTTTCAAACTGGTTATCCACAAAGTTGGGCTACTGGATTTTCTACCACTTTTTGTTGTGTAGCAGGCTGCGCAGATTATGTTACACCCAAAACAGATCATGTTTTTTTCCCCATGGACCAGGCAATATGTTTACCCCATGGACCAGGCAATGGGACCTAGTACCCTGGTTTTCACCGCCCAGGGCTCCACACCATGGCAATGAAGGGCCCAACCTGCGTTAAAAAAATCAAAACTGTTTAAAGAGAAGTGAAGAGATGGTCGGTCCGGCCCCCCATATCTTTCTTCGGCCGATTCGAACGCCGCGATCGATCTTCGTGTCCAATCGCCTTTGAAAAGGGAGGCACCCATTTAATTGAAGATCAAGGACGATGAAAGCAATTCAAAAGGGGGTTTCAAACAAAAAAACATACAAAAAAAACACCGAACCAGGCATTGATGAATCGTTTCTCCAAGCTGAAAAGGAAGCAACAGTTGTCGGCCCATATCTACAAACGAGGCCAACAAACACATCGCCTCACCTTCAGAACCGGTCTATGTTGGGTCCATCTGTGGTGCGGGAATAACTGAATATAAATATAATATACCAGCACCTTCAAATGTAACTGATTTTTGTGCTACGAGATTTTTCAGGTACGTTTTGAACTAAAAGTGTTCGAGCTCTGTTTTTCTGCGCGTTTGTGTTTTAAGGGTTTTAACATATTATATAACATGTGATCCTCCCCCACGCCCACCGACGTGTACATCAACATCAGCGGCTGCCTCCTATGCCGGGAAACTCAGTCTTTTTCAGCGAGGGGCTGGTCCGGTTCCATGCAGCAGCCTCTTGTATTTCAAGAGAGCTCTGCTGAACGTTCGAAGACAGGTGGTAAGGCTATGTGTGCGTCGTGAGATTCTCGCGACCCTTCCTATGATGTCTTCATCTTGCCAACAGGCAAAGCCTAGGTAACAGGTGTGGCGACATGATCGAGAAAAGACGATTGGTTTGACGCAAAAACCATGAGTCAAGCAGCATAAACTGTTGAGAAGGAACTGACACCCGCTGTTGATATGTGACTGCATATCTTCCCTGCCAACAGGGGACACACAACTGACATGCACACAACTGTTCTCACCACACACTCGCACACATATTGCTTTTCATGCAGTCTAGCAAAGGCACGTTATGTGGTCCAACATGTGGAGCTTGGGCTTTACACGGAAGAGTTTCAAGTCTCGCTCCCGTGAAATGCGTGCCAGCGCACTGTAGCTTTCCTTATAAGATTGGAAACCAACCCGCACAAAAGCACTGACTGCAAACATGTGGACTCTATAACCGGCAGTCAAAGGATCCGTAATACCCCATCCCAGGGGCACCAAGCGACGTGCTGCATCTGCTGGCAGCCAAGTCCCGTACAAGTACAGTCCACGGAAGAATGCGTTTCCTGTGTCTGCTGAGTACTTCAGGATCTGGAAGAGATCACGGTCATTTGGTGCCTCAAAACTGTCGCGCTGTCTTGACATCCAGAAGATTCAATGCGTCCCATGACAAAACACATTCTTCCGGGCCAAGAAACCACATCAGCACACGTGAAGCTCGAAAGGAAGCATGAAATCCATTTTTGGACCACGATGCAGTCGTGCCCCTGACCTGAAAGTACCGGATACTGTTTTCGCCTCAGCTCTGAAAATTCCAAGAGAAAACTACACGGTGCTTTGCAGTGGTTCATCCAAGTTGCGTTTGAATCTTCAAGGTCTTTTTGCTAAACTCGTTGAGTTTGCAGGTCTCATGGGCACGACTGCACCACTCCCGGAAGTGGCTGTACAGGTCCTCTAGCTTGCTGTCCAGGCTGGGGCCGTGCACGAGGATATCGCAGATTGTAACTAGCGCGCTAGCACAAAACTCTTTTCCGACACCTATCGCCCATGTATGTGCGATATCAGTTCGGATTCGCAGAGCCGACCGCGCCCCTGGACATTCAAGAAACTTGGCCTCTGCTCTGCTCTCTTCCATGGAGGTCTCTGTGAACCCCGATCGAAACCTTCCAAGCAACCATGCTTGCCAAGTTTCCACCACTCCTCAGCTAAGCACAAGATGGCGACCCAAATACCTGTTGTGGCTTGAAACAAACATGCCGTGCGTGCCGTGCGTCCAGCGTGTTGCAAAAATGGCAGACATATTTCGCATTGAACCCTGTTGACAAAGAAAGCCATTTTCTCAGCCAAGGCCAATCTCCTTTGGCGCCAACATATATCAGATGAAATTGTTCGCCTGCCACCTCAGAACGTGCACAATATCTACTGTATAGTACGAGCATGCACATGTGTGTGCGTAGTGACATGTATACAACCCTAGCCGGCAAGCGGCTGTAATCCCGGTATGATAGCAGCGTGTCAGATCATCAACCATTGCGCTTGAGAGGTCATAGATCGTTGCATCTTTTGCCGCGTAGTTCTCGCTGGGCATGAGATGGGATAGAAATCTTGTGCTGAACGAGTGCCTAGGGTTCTATGGATCCAGGTTGCTTCAAGCACCCCCGCTAATGGCATACAAGTTAGGGCCTGTACAACGTTTGAGCTCAGTTTCCCAAGATATTCAGAGGCAATGTAAACCGAGAAAAGGCTGCCAACACGGCCAAAGATACCCAGTAATATTGGTACGATCTTCCCCACAAACGCCCACCAGTGGTTGATAGGTTACAATATGGATAGGATTCTTTGCTTTGCCCCGGCCCTCGTCTCCATGAATACAGTAGGGGATCAGCCGGGTGTAGTCACTGAAGTCCCGGAAGACCGGATGCCCAGGATCCAACATTTTGTATCGCTGCCAAAACCTTTGGAACATGCACCCCCATTCTTACTTTTGGGAAAGACTAAAACCACCCAGCAAGTACTTGGCAGCGTGGCTCAGCAAATAGCGGGCCCAAGACTGCAATGCAATGTACGGGTATTCAGCAACGATCTCTCGAACTTTCGGCCGGTGGACACGCACTCTCACTCGGATCATGGAAATCTTGACCTGCAGGAACTTCTTTTCCCTTGCTAAGTAGGAATGAAAATTCGGCAAATGTTTCTGAAACCTTTCCTTTTTGAAGTAGGTCCAGCACGTCCAATGGCTCGAAGTTTTGGGTCTCTGACACCTGGGCGACACGTGTGAGGTGGTTGGACGCAGGAAAGCGCATGCACATCTCGAAAAAAAGACTCGAGTAGACGAGGCACCTAGTCTGTTCATTCTTTTTTCAGCCACTCTGGCTAATCTAACCACACGGTATGCAGATTCTGCCTGAGATCGATCAATGGCATTTATAAAAACATGCATGCGATAGACTTCAACTTAACGACTGACCCTCCAGATCACTGGCGGTTTGTATAGCACAAGTTGCACCCTCCTCAAAACCCGTGAACAATTCATCGGCTAAATCCGAGGGAGTTGATGAAGAGCGATCATCATCATCATCATCATCCCCTGCCATGAACCAGTTGAGATAAATATATATCGAATGCGCAGCTTCGCCCAGGCCTGGCCTTGCGGTAGCCGCTGGGCATGTTGGGATGTCAAGGCTTCTGCGCGTGCGCACACCAAAGGAAGACGTTAAGTTGCAAGACACGGTTTGTTGACCCGTGCCTTGTTAGCAGCTGATTGCATGATGCTATATATAAATATCGCCGTGCAAACACATTTTCACATGTCCAGAACACATCGCAACAAACCCCGGTCGCGGTGTCTACATAGGCCCTCGAAGAACAGCTCTGTCGGCTGTTTTGAAGGCCATCCAAACTGATCTAATCGCTAATCGCTAGCCTTTCTTTTGGGCGAAGCTTTTGCCGCAGCACGGTTGCCACGTCCCTTGTTCGCCGGCTTGCGTGAAGCCGCAGGCTTGGCCTTGGCCTTCGTAGCGGCCTTCGCCTTTGCCGAGGCACCGCCATGACCGCCAGGCCGTGTCGCTTTTCCGGGCGCAACCTTCAGGTTCCTGGGGTGGAGGAATGGGACATGTAAGGGTTCTGGGTTCTGGTGTTCTCAACAACCAGCTATATCTCAGCCTAGGGTCTTAGCTCGAACGAGGCAGTTGTTCAAAGCGATGTCGAGTTTGGTGATCTCCACGGTTTTGTCCTTCACCTTTTGCTCATCCAACCTACAAAAGAAGATTGCATGTACAACATCAACATCCATGTTGGGAAGCGGTGCATATCAACAAATGAGGTAGCAAGGGAGAGTGCAGGTGTCCCCTAAAAGATCCTAAAAGCAATGCATTGCAATCTTATAAGGCTGCTACTTTCCAACTGCTCCATCGGCTTGGAACTTTGTCAGCTCATCGTATCCCTTGTTGAGCTCCTTGACGAGGTTGTCGATCTGTTTGGCAGCCCTGGGAAAGGCTGCATCAAGTGTCGTAGGGACAACGACAACTACATGCTTCACTTGTTGCATGCAACCTCAGTGCGGGCTAGGCACAGGTCGGTACGCTCGTTGCGCTGTTGCAGCAGCTTGTCCTAGAAGGAGCTAGGAGGAAACCAATTGGGAAACCGACCGGTAGGGTTGCAATGGTTTACAGTGCATCACAGGAAAAATTAGAAGAATTGGGCCCCCTCCTTTTCCAGTTCAGCAGAATCGATTTTGCGCCCCAATGTCTCGATCCAGCTTGGCAAAACTCCCACAATCGAGGCGTTCTGTTGCAGCGTGGGGAAGACAAGCCTCAGCCAAATCACTGGGTCTCAGAAACAAACACTGCAGGTTTGGGGTGCCATGCAATGAAAGTACACCGGGTAACTTGAATGAACCTGGGACGTTCTGCAACTCGTTCTGATCGCCTGCCGTGTGAGGAACCAAGCCGCGCAGCCTCTCGGGGACGGCCTGACTCGAGAGCAGGCTTCCATTGGGGTCCTGCATGCTGGTGGCCACATGAGTGTGCATATACCCAACGCAAATATATATGCATGCACATCTATATAGGCTCCAATGTATTCAAGATATATGGTATATCATGAGATCAAAAGAATTCGAGACGATCTACGCTGGCTAGTCGATATGTCCTCCATAGCAAAGCTCCCTGATTGAGTCATGGAATTCCCCTGCTGCTGAGCATGATCAAAATACTCTTCCAATACTACATTGATCTCTTCTTCACCGTGAATTGGATTCTGCCTGAGGTGCCCGTTGTCACGGGCCCAGTTCCATGCGTGTTCAACCATGGACCTTGGCCGACAAATTTGTTCACCAAGACCCATGAAACATGCATTA